GGCAGTCCTCGAAATTGCGACCCCTTCCGACCAAAATGCGACCCCTTCGTTCGAACAGTTCGAACGGACGGTTGACCCTGGTGTGACCGTATTGAAACCGCAGGTCTGTGCTAAGTTTAAAGGACGAATTCACGCTGGAAAGGCAACCCATTTCAAATTAACTTAGGGATGGTGAGTGGTACACTAAAGAAGGAAAAACCATGAGAAACGGCCCAGAACCCGAGAAATGGGACCCTTCCTTGCCCGTTGATTTGAGCATTGATGCGACTCTCATCGCTGTGCCCTCTTCAACACTACGCTCTCTCACCTATCTAATCACTCGCCACACGAGTTGGACCCATGATTGCTCACTGGAATATAATTCGTCTGTATAAGAAAATTTAATATAGCTGACTTTTGTTCAGGATCCCGTGCTATTTTCGGGCACACTTCGATTCAATTTGGATCCATTTGAAAGAAACACTGATGCTGAAATATGGAAAGCTTTAGAACTAGCTCACTTGAAGCTCTTCATTGCTAGTCTACAAGGTGGGCTTGATTACGTGATCAGCGAAGGAGGAGAAAACATCAGGTATCCTTGTGTGGTCTCTGTGTGTTTATGAGAATATGTTTTGGCACTGGGAAACAGGCAGTGCCACTCAAACATTCTTAGCCTTCAATAGATTATTCTTAGTGTTGGTCAACGTCAACTGGTGTGTCTTGCACGTGCAGTGCTGCGGAACGCGCGCGTACTTGTCTTGGATGAAGCAACTGCTGCTGTCGACGTAACAACTGACTCACTGATACAGGTCTACCGAAAAACATTCTACTGACCAACTATAAGCAAGTACTCCTTGAACAAAATACATTGCTTCTAGATAACCATTCGTCAGCAGTTCAAGCACAGTACTGTATTCACGATAGCGCATCGCTTGAATACCATCATGGAATATGACAGGTTGGGACTAAAAATTCGCATATTGATACCATGTTACCAACCCAGGGATTAGAAATTTTTAGTTGTTCTGTAGGGTTTTATCTGCAAAAATGTTGAAGTTAACTTTTAGCAAGAGGAAGGAAAGGCTCAGACTTCTTTTAACACGTTGACGACAGCGTGCAGCGCATGCGCTGCAAAACGTTGAGCACCGTGTGGGACCGATGTGCAGCGCATGCGCTTCACACTCAAATAGTTTTTTTTTTTCGCGATTGAACTACTTGTTTTCCATTTTTCAACAGGTATTCTATAGATCACATCACAACGCGACCGTAAACGTCGTGGGTTCCCAAATGGTTGAATATTGTTAAATTTATCGAAGGTTTTCTCAAATACACACTGCAGATCCTTCGGTTCGGTTCATTCCTCGTTTTCTTTAGATTTTCTTGAACATGAATATAAGAAACAGTATTCGAACTTAGTACAGACCTCTATGTATAAGTTCTTTTCAGTAGAACCACCTTTCAAAAATAGTTTTGGGATCCATTACAGGAAGAGCAACTAAAATTTGCCTTTTCATTGCTATGACACGTTATTTCCATGGAACATTTACAATTGTACTTTCTAATAAGTTTATCACATCAAATATCATTGGAAACTTTTTGCCGTATCCAAGTTTGGCGTTTTTGAAGCTCAAAATCTGCGGATTTGGTGTGGCGCCTTTAAAATCGCTCTGGCCCCACACGGCCAAAAAAGCCCAAACGTGCGATGTCGTCAACGTGTTAAAATTGTCAATTGTGACCATAGTGTTCTAGTTTCCTCGTTTTCGGTTTGAAAAAACTTGGTTCGATTGTGGTATTACTTACGAGACGACATCGATAGGAGCTCGTGAGAATATTTAAGCCGACAGCTGCCGCTGCCAAGACACCAAACCATGGGATAAAGTGACCATTAATGCTACAAGATGTGGCTTCTTAAGGCGTTTTTGGTTGGCAGCGAAAATAAGAGCTTTAACAAGATGTCGGAACCAGTAGACAAATTCAAGGAGGTGAAGGAGCTGAGAAGGAAGAAGAGCAAGGTAAAAAATCGAAAGCGGGCGGAGAGATTTGTGGGATGATAAAAGTAAACCCTGGATTGAAGCAGAAGATGAAGCAGCACACAGCCAAATGTAGGGAAGAGAGAAGTGGAGGAAGTCTATGAAAAAATGAACGCTTCAAGTTATGATATATTACAATTTACAGGAAAACAAGTTATATATGCGCAAGGTGAAAGCTTTTACTACAGTGTGTCCGCAAACGATAGGTCACTTTTTTCATTTTTATCAATATCTGGAGCAAATCAATGGCTCTTCTCCAAATTTTCACAAGCAATAGCTTAGTAAAGTTGTTTCGAATAGTATGAATTTGAAAAGAGAAGCAGACACTAATTTTCAATCTTCTTTTGCGAAAACAATGGTATCCCAAAAGTATTGGTTCACTTCAGGGTTCACGCCAGACTTTTCTCTACGGCATGCTTAACAGAACTTTTGACAACGCAAACAAATGCAACCTTGCAACATTTCCTCACCCTTTTGGTGCTTTCAAGTGTCCGCGTTGCCGCTCAAGATAAGTGGGGAGATTGTTTGGAGTGGTGCCAGCTCTCAATCTCTTGGACGAAATTTTTGATTGTTCCACTCTTTCGAACTGTCCATAGTTGGTTAAAAGGCAGGGACGAGAATGTCTCAGAGGATGTTTATTTCGAGTTCAATCAGATGAGAAAGCTAATTTTTTCTCTCTCAAACGGCGCCATCGTTGAGGCACTTGCATGAAAGGTAGCGTTATTTTTGTTGAAGATAACGAGTGAGGATTGCTTGCTTATGGCACTAGTTTGAGTCGAGGAACGTCTTTGTAAGCAGTGGTGCTGATGAGATTGCGGTGGTCACGATTCGAGCCCTAAAAGCCAGAGGAGGCGACTAAAACCATAACACTACCTTCAGCAAATTCGCTCAGTGGGAAGAAGAGTGGCTTCTTCCTCAAACGTGCTTAGTTTTTCTTTTTCGCCTGAGAAGTACCTACAAGTACAACACCCTCCTCAGATTTTGTATAAGGTGAAGAGATGATCACTATTAGAAGCCACTTCACCCGAGTGGCCCAATGCCAATCAACGTTCTCCACCAAAACGGAATGTCATGGCTCCTCTACGTTATGGGACAATGAAATAGCTTCACAGTTATGATGGCCTCTAATATGTAGGTAATATAAACAGATCGAAAAGACCTGTAGCATGATGAAATGCAATATAAGTAACACTAGAATATAAGATGCCAAGATAGCTGTATCGCAACATGAAAGTCGCAGTATCGCAGAAAGTAGTATAAAGGAAGGGAATGGACTAACGATAAGTGAGATCTCGGTCCCTTCTCGATCCTTTTATACCACTCTTGGCGCGCCACAGCATATAACGTAATGGAGCATGCACAATTGGTGATTTAAAGCACACGGTCAGAAGAGCTTTTCGTCACATTAGGTGCCAGTTCCTTGCCTAGTCGTTGCACACTCTTAGTACAGTCAAATGTAGCTATGGAGTCGGCGCCTTTGCCTCTCAGAAAAGTTCCCGAATTTTTGTTCTTCTATTCATGCCGTAGGACTCCATGTTGCAGCGGAATTTCTGGTAAAGTTTAGAGATGAGATTCCTTTTTCTCAGGATGCTGCAGTCACTGACTGCGACATTATTGTAAGGCTTAATTTACACTTTTCCAATCCAATTATTGTTTTCCACTGGGCATGGCACTGCAGAAAATACGAGGAGGGAGCATTATCTATTTTCTTTACGACTTTCTCACTCACTGCATCGATGGCGCCCCTCGTAAAAATTTGGAGCTAAAGGGCTAATTCTGGGAATATCTAAGAAAAATGGGGGCGAACCTATACCTTTGGATCCCTGTATGGGCTAACCATGAACTTTGCCAGCACGTCAGGCTGCTTTCTACGGCTCCCCCTTTCACACGAAAAAAAGACCACTATTCTTTGGCTGTTCTGAATATTTCCTCAGTTTTTGGTCCCGTTATCAGGTGTCGCTCTCACGGTACCTGTGCACTTGCCCTCTAACGAATACATCTGCAGTCCATATCCGAGAGTTTTGGTAGGCGCGTTGTCAGAAATGACGTGGCAGCAGCCGCGCTTGATACAAGTGTTGTGGATAGGCTGTTTCTAACATATCCTCTGTATATCAGTAAAGCATGCTGGCAGTAGCTTATTCTGCTAACTTTTATCAAGTCCACGTCACTTCGGGTGACACACTTACCCCCCTCAGAATGGACAGTAACTCTAACTGGTTACGCATTAGTACCCTTATTTTCTTGTCACTGGACCGCGCATTCGTTTACGCGAAATTACTCACGGCTTGCCTTCCATTTCTCGACATCGATGCGGTTGTTGACCACTAGCTTATGACTTTCACATCATTTTATCGAGCGGCCTGCTTCATTGAACCCATTCGTGACAATGGCAGCCACCGGTGGCTGACAAAGATCTCACTTGTACAATGGTATCCACCGGTGGCTGCCGTGTTTCAAATGGAATTTGGAAAGTTTTTTTCCTGAAAAGAATCTTCATACCCTCATTCATCTATGCCAGACTTGGGCACGGGAATCTCCATCCACTCAAATTTTATTGAAGAAAAATCTCCTGACTCTCCTGCTAATGCGCAAACCGGCGCGGTCGCGAATGGTTTAATGCAGCATGTCAGTTTCTTCCGTGTATGCATCAGTGGCATTGCAGGATCATGGTGCTGGATAATGGTCGAATAATCGAGTTTGACTCACCTCAGACATTGTTGATGGATCGTGATTCAGCTTTCGCAAAAATGGTCGAAGACTCGGAATCCGAGTCGAAGCGAGCATAGGTGGCTCTGATACTCACAAGCGGGTAACTACATATCGCATAGTGAATGCGAAATCTTACAGTCGTTTCTAGCCCTACCTTATTTGGGCTAAGCTTTGTAATTTAGCATGTTGTTAAGTTTTACGTCTTCATATTCGCATCGTTTCGATAATAAATCTTGCTAATTTGTAGTTTTTTAATCAGAACAAGCAGATATGATTCCTGTTAACTAGGGAAGGTCATTTGGTGAACTCCTCGCCCCCCCCAACTTTGAAAAAAAAAAAAATGCCCGCCGGCCAATTGAAATGAGATATATATGTGTATACGCGCCTTGGGACGCTGAGCTCAAATATGTGTTCCTTATCTGCTGAACTCTTCTCTGAAAGGAATTATGAAGCAGAAAAGCGCAGGGGCTGTGGTCGAGGCTCACGAAAAAGAGGTCAGGGGATCAACTCCCTGGCGAGTTTGTTCTTTTGCCGTTTGCAGTAAGATAGCTAGGAAGACTCCTAACATTGCTAGTCTAACATGCTTGCGTATAGTTAATCATGCAAAGAATTCAAGGCATTAATGATACGAACTTATGGCGGCAACAGCTGCCCTCACCTCTTTGTGCTTAATGCAGGCGCGAGTATTTTTGTTTCGAACAAGTATGATATTCGTAATCAAAGCCATAGTCAAAGCGTAATGAATTCTGCCTAAACTCGAAAATTTGGGCAGTCACTTACTCACTCGTCACCAAATCCATTACAAAAGGCTGGCACTTGGGTAGAATAAAGCTTTTAAGACTTTTCATAATAGACAAAAATTGTGTCTGGCTTGCCCGCCTGCATCATCCAAAGATCTGCAAAGCATTCTTTCATTAATGCAACACCTCTTCCCCTTCCCCCGTCGTCCCGTCTGATTGGTCAACCCAAAAAAGTGGAGTTGAGGAGTGGTAATACATCAATTTACAGCTCCGCTTCCTTTTCCTCATTAGTTCAAATGGCTTCACGATGTCGGCGACAACTCGTTTTTCAAGGCAGTAAGTTTGCACGCCACGAAATATCGATCTACTAGAAACAGTGAAAAGTACAGGGTAGTTTGATCCCCACGAATATCGTACCTACTTGCCACGGAAAAGCATAGCACCTGCACTACGGGCACCATGGGCACTCACAGACAAGTAGTGCTTAAACTTAAGAGGATCTGCTTGCAAACTCTTCGTAGATGTAGCGTTGGGCGACCGTCCATAAAATAACGGATTCGGTAAGGCTTTTCAGCAAACGAACCCGCGACCCCTTACTTGCGAAGCAATAAAGAAAAACTAATATGCAATAGATAATACATGAACATAAAGAAAAGGTTCGTTTCACCTCTCAAATCATGCGAACCAATGTAGTAATCAGCACTTGAGGTTCTTCAGTGATTTTATGCTGATCTTGTGGTAGTGGGTAAGTAGTCCATTCAAAATAAAGAGAAGGGAGACGTAGCGATGAGCGAATTCACAAATACAAGAAACGTATTCAGGCCGAACGAAAATAGTTGGTATTATACGGTATGGTACCTATACCGTATGATACTCAGTCCAAAGTCTCACTAACCAAGAAGCAAAGAGAGTATGACTAATAACATGAGATTAACATAAATAGAAATACCTTAGAATTGTTATGTCCCGAAGACTCAAAACTTTTAAAGTTTTGAGTCCTTTGCAATAAATTTTGAAGTCTCACATTGTTTAATACACATATAAATAGAAATGTTTTAGTATTGGAAAACTAAGTGTAAAATATCGAAACTATTATATCACGAAGTAGTGGACATCATCGCATAGAAGCTATAGACGATATAAACTTATTAATGTTAACAATATTGTCAGCGATAGAGAACTTATAAGCAACATGTTTATTTTTATAAACGCACATAACTATGTTAGCTATTATGAACTCCGAAGAATATCCATTGCTCATTGAATTAGTGACTAACTTTTCAAGTTTATTCCTGAATAAATCCAATGTGGAACAGATATTAGCTATTCTAAGCGTTTCCGTATAGATTACTGAAGCTTTATTGTTTATATATTAGAATCGCTATGCGGAATCCTAATAACCTTAAAATTGAAGTCATCTGTTTTGTTATACAAATCAGTTATAAAATTTCCATCAATTATTTTAATATCAAGATCTAAATACCTGCTTGTGTATTCATCCTTGTGCGTTTTTTTTTGATTTCTGGAATGTTATTATGTATATGTACACCTTAAGTGATCGTCTATGAAACTTTCATAGACGATAGACTTTATAGTTATGTATAATAAGCGAATCATCCATATACCTATAAGGAGCAAAAACTTTACTACCACTTC